ATAATATAATACAGACATGAATACATCCGAATTCAACATGATAAATAGCTCATTTTCGTATTTTAATTTATTAAAATCCAAAAATAATATAATAGGGACATGAATGCATCTTTGTGACTCTAAAGCGCCAACTCGGATAAATTAAAATGATTTGGAATTATTAATTTATTTAAATTAATTTTCGTTTGCTGGGACGTATTAAGTTCAGCATTTTGTTATTTGTTTAAAATGGAATAAAAAAAGATAAAGGTTGACATGTTTGATCTTCAGGTGAAGAAAACTCTGAAAGACATCGATCTAGTCGAGAAGGCGGACACTTTCGCGCGATACCTGAGCGGTGGACAGAAGAGAAAACTGTCGGTGGGAATCGCTATCATCGGCGATCCCAAAATCATTATCCTCGACGAGCCTACCGCCGGGGTGGATCCTTATTCGAGGAGACAGTTGTGGTCCCTCCTGCAGTCGAGGCGGCACGGAAAAGTGATTCTATTGACAACTCATTTCATGGACGAGGCGGACATACTCGCCGACAGGAAAGCAGTAATCAGCAAGGGAAAGCTTAGATGTTGCGGCAGCTCTCTGTTTTTAAAGAACAAATTCGGCATTGGATACCATTTAACGTAAGTACTAAAATATTTATTCTTACATTACATTAACAGAAAACTCAGTAAAACTCTCTCTCTGATTAAAACTTTTAAAATTAAAGTTCTGAAATTATGAATTTCGATTTAAAACTAAAAATTTAAAGAAAAAACTTACAGAAAAGAAATATTTTCTTGTTTTGCATTTATTCACTTTAAATAATGTAATTTCTGATTAGGTACATTAAAACATATAGAACAGTACAAAAAATTCAATGTCATTATCATATCAAAACTTTTAATTTTATTAAAGAAAGGAATTGTAAAATATAGTTTTTCGTCAAGAATAGTTCTGCATAGATTTAATAAATATTATTTTGCAATTATAGATTAGTTCTCGAGGGTAATGCTAGAGAACACGCTATCAGCCGGATAGTAACGTCACATGTGAGCAAAGCGGAGAAAGCGAGACGTCATGGTCGGGAATTGAGCTTCATTCTACCTCACAACTCCGTGGAGAACTTTGCACCCCTTTTTTCCGCCATCGAGCACGAAATCAAGACTCGTTCGAGTAGGCTCGGCATTAGCAGCTACGGCGTATCGATGACCACCCTGGAGGAGGTATTTTTGCATCTGGAAAAGGATGAGGAGACCGAGTGCACGATGGACAACCTGTCGAAGAAGATGGTGCGCAATCGCGCGCTCAGCCGATCGCTTTCGTTGCAGTCCAAGAGCACGTCCTATCAGAGCTTGCAAAACGAGGGTATAACCGTACAGGGTGACAGTCAAGCGAAAGGTACGTGAATGATCTCTTCTTGCGTTTCATTATCAGAGCTTTTGCAATTTATAAATTTTTTAAATATAAATATTTTTTTAATATAAGATCTCTTTTATATTAGATCTTATATAAGATCTTTAATATAAGATACTCGCTTTTTCCTCAGATAAACGCACGATTTTGTTACTTCGAATCAGAATTTTTGCAATTTATAAGTTTTTTAAATATAAATATTCTTTTTAAATATTAGAAAGCTATTCGCTTTTTCCTAAAATAAACGCGCGATTTTGTTACTTATGAATCTAATTATTAACATTATTAAATATCAACATATATGTTTTATATTGTTTTTTATACATATTGTTTAATTAGTTAGTGATGTAGTAATATTATGAAATTATTTAGCCAACGATTTGCCGGACGGCATCCATAATGATCGAAATCCACCTGTGCTCGGCCTCGGCCTAGATTCCATCAAGATTCGGCCTAACTTCCCTCAAACACTCTATGCCATGTTACGCATAAGGGTGCTCAGGCTCTTCAGAAACCTCCAACTGCTGTACTTCACAATCATCATGCCACTGGCTCTGGTAGTGATCGGTCTCTACCTGAACAGCATCCGAACGCTCGATGACAAGATCGAGTCGTTAAAACTTAATAGCCGTAAGTGCAGATTGAAACTTTTATACAAAATAGGAGATAGTAGTTCGGCTCTTTTTCTTTTATTTGCATTTAGTTTATTTTCCAAACAAGTATGGCACATATATTGCAAATCAGTTTTTTAAAGAGCGATTTATTTCCAAATTAATCGTCTTAATTGAGAAGACATTGTTTTATATTTATATTTATACTTTTATAGAATTATATTATAATTTAAGTACGTGTCTATAAATTCACGAATATGGATAGATAAAATTATTTAAACAAAAAATATAAAACATGTAATATCTTGATATCATAGGATTAAAGATTGCCGGGAATATTAAACAGGTTCATGAATTTATGGGCAAAAGTATGTAAGAAATTTATTTAATAAAACAAATTATATTTTCAAAAATATAATTATTTTTTATTAAAATTGTTATCACTCTTGGAAAATCAAATCAATCAAATCTATCACGGTATGCTTTTCCTTTCTTAGATACTTACAACGAAACTGAGATCGTCTACCTAAATAATACCGACTGCGACATTACCAAGTTGATAGACAGCATAGCTCAAGACGCGAAGCACATTGAAGAATACGATGGCAGTTTCGCGAATTTAATGAATATCGCGCCGCATATAGCCGCCTTCAACATTACCGATTACAGTCTACCGCAACTCAACCTGACCGTCACATACAACGATACGATGCAACATTCCCTTCCGATATTGATAAACATTCTTTCGAACGCTTATTATAGGTGAGTTCGTATAAAAGAGAGTCCAGTGGTTTTAATATTTAAGATATAAAAATGAAAAATATTACATTTTGTTGTAACATTTTGAAAAATGTAGTCACAAAAAATATTAATATTATAAATATATATATAGACGTACTTGATAGAAACTACAAATGAATTTCTTCAAACATTTTTAACTTATGCAAATAAAAAAAATACAGTTTAGTTACATATAATGAATCTGCTTCAAATTGAGTAATATTCATATGAATTCTAAATTTTTATTTAGATTGATCTCGGGCAAGAACGAAGTTATGCCGATCGAAGTCCATACACATCCCTTCCAGCAAACGTCGCAACCCCAACAGTTCAATGTCGGCGCGGCCAGCTGCGCCATCTCCCTCGGCATGGTTTTCATATTATTGCCGATTACTTTAGCGGTCGACATGGTTTACGATCGTGAGGTAAGAACTTTTGCTGTTAAATTCTAGCTACAGATTGTTGTGCTATATACAGGCCATGTTTCAGCTTCTATTTTCCCGCTATAGATTTTTCTTTAATTTTGAATTGTTATAATATAACATTTAAGCATTAAGCATCTTAGCAACATGTTAAAAATTAAACAAAAAAAATCTGTTAACGTTAAAAATCTACAATTTTATTTAAAATTAAATGAACTGCAAAGTTTCTTTTATCGCTCGTGAGCGAAATGAATATTTTAGATTCTAATTCTCGATGTCACATATTTGTTTAAATGAACTTTTCTGATCTAAAATTGATTGAAAGACTTGACAAGCACAAAGTTGAAATGTAATCAGATTCTTTTCAAGGAAGTTCTACATAGTATTCTACATACAGATTCTATATACAAGTAAATACTTTTCAGATCAAAGCGAAGAATCAGCTTCGCGTGAATGGCCTGTCGTTCTCCATGTACTTTCTTAGCTACTTCATTGTGCTACTCGGCCTGATGATTTTCATCTGCCTGTGCATCCTCGGCATCATATTCCTCTTCGATGTGCCTTCGCTACGGGAAATACCGGCCATCAGTACCCTCGGCATTCTCATCATACTCTACTGCCCATCGTCTATCCTCTTCTCTACATGTCTCAGTTACATCTTCGACAAAGTGGATTCCGCGCAAAGCATATTGCCGAACATCGCGACCTTCTTCGGGTTGCTACCGTTCAGCTTTGTCATGATCCTCGATATGCAAGGAATCGGTAAATAGCGAAACTGAGATCATCTCATTCATTTTTCTTACAGTGAATAAACTATAGAAGGTCACCCTTTTTCCTCCCAAGCTTTTGATTTTGAAGCTTAACTCACGATGTGTCATGGAATAAGTCATTTATATCCTTGTTCTTTTATTTTTTTAGTACTGTTGAAATTTCGCGAAGCCTTTGACTTTGAATGTTAATTCCTAACTTGCGGCGTTATCGATTCGTCAAATCATTTATATATTTTTTTCTCTTACCTCTATTTGATATTACAAGCTTTATAACTGTTTTTCTTAAAGCCTTAATACATTTATCAAGATTGATATCAAAATTACAAAATTATCAATCACGTTACGATCTGTTGCTCTAGGTGGGTCAGCTTCGTTCGCGTTGCACGTGGTCTTTTCCCTGTTGAACAGCATGTACGTACCGTATGCGGCGGTCTATTATGTGGACCGCGTTCATTTGATGTGTTCCATCAACGCCGCCTGCCACTATCTCTCCATGTCTGATTACCTCACCATGGAGATCATATTGCTGGCTTTTGGCGCGCTACTGCAGTGTCCGATTTGGTTCTTCGTGTTACTCCTAGTGGACATCAACAAGAGCGGCGGCAACGTCAGCGATATGTTAAAACACTACTTCTTGGTTAGCGCAAATTTAACGTTGTTATTAAAATTTTTGTTCTTGCTGATTATATAGTTATTTTTTCTTTATATACATATAAAAAGTACAAATACTTGATGTATTTTAAAGCCATACGGCATTGTTTTGTATTCATACTTATCCTGCATTACGATTCAAATTATTCGATTGCGTTTTATAAAGAAAAATAATGAATTTCTTGATTTTTTTTAAACGTATATAATTTTTTCTTCCTTTTCCTAATAGTAATTTACTTATAAATTTCTTTATTTAATTTTGAAATAGTCTGAAAATAATTTATGAGAAAATCCATTATATGTAGTATCTTGTTAGAAATATAAGAATACATTTCCGTTTTTTAATTATATTTATTTTGTTCCTATTTATTTATTCCTTAATAAATAAATATTGCAGAGTTTTCATATGCAAACAAATTTTCATATAATTTGAGATGTATATTTCAACTATATTGTTTATGAGTGAATATACATATATAGCAGATCTTTAAAAAATTATATCTATTAAAAAGCTACTAAAAATATATATCTTTGAAATATATAATTTTATATACAGTTTAAATAACAAAATATTACCTTTTTTATTTTTATAGCGTGCTGGCGATTCCATTCGTGAAGAAATTATGGAAAACTCAGATATCGGCGAACACGAGGATACGGATGTGAAAAGCGAGCGACAGAAGGTTTTCAATTTTGTCGTTTCGCCAGCCGTCAGTCAAGAGCCGCCCTTAGTATTGGTTCAAGTAAGTCAAGTAGTACAGATTAAATTATCACCATTTATTACGAAGTAATGAATAGTGCAGCAGACAGTCAAGTTTGACAATGAGAAATTGCGAAAAAAATATCTAAACATTTTATAAGATTTTGTTCAATTAAGAGTATGTCAATGTCAGTTCTAATTAAATCTGCATCTATATACAAAAGTATTAGAGAAATATGTTTGAAATTGCGATAAAATATCTAAATATTTTATAAGATTTTGTTAGATTTTTAAAAAGTATGTCAATATCAGCTCTAATTAAATCTGCATCTATATATTAGAAAGATATATTTGTATTTAAATATCTGAATAACTATAATAACTTAACAACAAAATTAATTCACACAAACATCGTTTGTTTCAACTTAAAAGCAATTTTTTTAACGGAAATAGAATTGAATCAAACTGATTCAATCTTTTTTTACTGTGATGCAAAGTTATTATTGTCAATGCAATCTTTTTCATCTCACATGTGCCATTCTACCTAAACTATGTATATTATATTATAGAATCTGCGAAAGGAGTACCGACACAAAGAGTCAGGATCATCCTGCTGTCCGAAACGCGAGGAAAACGAGCGAATAATCGCTGTGCGAAATCTCTCGTTGGCGGTGGAACCGGGCGAGGTTTTGGGTCTGTTGGGTCACAACGGCGCCGGCAAGACCACGACGATGAAGATTATCATCGCCGAGGAGGCACCGACGAAGGGCAAGGTGCAGGTCAGCGGTCATAACATTAACACCCATATAACGGAGGCTTTCCGGCTGATGGGCTATTGTCCTCAGCACGACGCTCAATGGAAGAATATCACCGTAAGAGAGCATCTGGAATGTTACGCCGCAATTCGCGGGGTTCCATGGAGCGAAGTCGACAGGTGCGATCTTTCAATATTCATGCAATTTATCTAGTAAAATGTAATTGATTTTTTAGAAATATGAGTTAACTTATATTCCTAAAAAAATTCCTTAAAGAATTGATTTATTATAGTTTAAAAAAAAAACTATCGAATTAAAGTTTTATTGTAGCATGTCAAAAATTATTGTAGCACTGTTGATTAATTTTAAGATATAAGTTTTTCCTTTTTTAAATAGCAATTTAGTTTTTCGATATACATATAAGTCAATATTAGCATTTCTAACATTAGAACAAAACAGAGCGCGCGCTTTGCGCGCGCCATTTGTTCATTATCCCTGAAACATAACACACACACACACGCACGCACGCACGCACGAACAAATACAAATATCATATTAAATACTCATTACTTTTATATATCTCTTACATATATCTCATGTCCTATCTAAAAAAAAGGCATATTAAGTCGATAACTTTCATTTCTGGTCTTACTTTTTTCTTTTAAGTGTCAGTAAAATATTATAATACTGCTAACAATATCTTTTATAATCAACAGATATGTCGAAACGTTTTTAATTTTTTACAATGATTAAAAGAAAAAGGAATTAAAGGAAATAAAATAGCGATAGAAGAAAAAAAAGAAGTGTAAAAGTTTTGAAACGAAAAGAATTAAATTCATTGGTCTTTTATAAAATATTACGTAAGTGCATGTTCCTTCACCTTCGTGTGTTACATACATAAATGTCAAATGCTGTGTCTAATTATTTGCTGTGATAATTAGACACAGGCACACAGCATCTGACAATTATGTATGTAACACACGAAGGTGAAGCGACACGTATGTAATATTTTATAAAAGACCACTAAAGAGGCCGGACTTGATGTAAAGTCGAAACGATCGTCTGCAGGTAGCATTAATGTAATTTTTTATATAAATATAACAGATTAGCACGAAGACCTTGCTTGGCTCTTGGTCCATTACAATTATTTATTTTTAATTTTAATTCTCGGAGCCTGAAATATATTATTGTTCAATTAAAAATAATTTTTGTGATATTTAATACACTGTATCAAACATTTTATACCTTTGGCACTTTAATACTTAATACTTGCAAATTATATTAATGCTACCAGATGATCGTCTCGGCTTTATATCAAGCCCTCTTCAGTCTTTTGTAAAATGTTACATACGTGTCGCTTCACCTTCGTGTGTTACATACATAATTGTCAGATACTGTGTCTAATTATCACAGCGAATAATTAGACACAGCATTTGACAATTACATATGTATGTAACATACGAAGGTA